GATTCAGCTACGCTGCCTCTGTGGCTTTTGGTTGAGGATTATGGGAAGGAAGACTCATAAGGCTGAAATGTGGAGTAACAGACGGGGAGAAGAGCCAATATACTAATGACAGCTAAATTTCCTTTTTCTCAAAATGTAGCATCTTTGTGTTAAGTTCTTTACTTGGCTTATTTATTTAACAAGTGTGAATCATGGGAGAATGTGCTGGATCCTCTTATTATTCCCATTTTACAGGGGAGAAAAGGAAGCTCAGAGAGGTTAAGTAACTTGCCCAAGGCCACACAGCCAGGAGGTGACCGAGGCAGAGTGGAAACCTAGGCTCCTTGAATGCATTGCTTTCATTTTCGCTGACTACTCTACCAAAGGTCTTGATTCTTTAATTCCAAGACTAAGAAGCAGTGGCCGGACAGAGCTGCCTTTCAATGAGAGGAGGAGGCTGTGCATTAAATGCGCAGGCGCTTGGTCACGGTGGTGGTTGTTTTGGACATGAGTTTGCAATGCTCCATGAGCGTTCAAATGGAGATGAAGAGATTCAGCAGGACGCCTGGAAGAGGCAGCTGGATGTTAAGTCTGGGCTTCAGGGGCAGGTCTAGGCTGGAGATATAAATTAAGAGTTGTCAGCAGATACTTAGGTTGTAACCCTTGGGCCTTGAGGAGGTTTCCAAGCGAGGAAGTAAGGGTAGTTAGAGAAGATGGTTAACAGCAGAACCCTGGGGAATGCCGGGCAGGGGGGTCCAACCTGTTGGCGTCTCTGGCCCACACTGGAAGAAGAAGAGCTGTCTTGGGCCACACATTAAATACATCGAGACACGTAATCATACACACACAAATCTCATAATGTTTTGAGTGAATTTGTGATTTTGTGTTGGGGCCACATGCAGAACCACCCTGAGCCACTTGTAGCCCACGGGCCACAGGTTGCACACCCCTGACTTAGAGGGTCCGATCCAGCGAAGGAGGTAAGGGAACAGCAGCCAGGCAGTGGGAAGACCTGAAAACCAAGTGAGGGGGATGTTTCGAGAAGGAAGGGGCCCCCCACTGTTTCAGATGCGACTGGCAAGTCCAGAAGGGTAAGGACAAAGGCATATCCAGCTTGGCAACTGTAGTGAGGGGTGGGAGAGGTCCAACATGGTGGCGACTTTAACGAGAACATTTTTTTTTTTTGGTCAGGGACAAAAGCCTCAAGGGAGTGTGTTCAAGACAGAAAATAAGAGGAGGAAGCAAAATCACTGAGTGCGTTTCTCCATTCCAGTAGTCAGAACGAATCTGCGGATCAGTGTGCTTATCACCGTCTTCTTGTAGGAAATGATGCCTCTTCCTAAACTGTGTGATCTCGGAAGGACTAGGGTGATGATTTATCTTCTAAATGCCTTGCAGGAGGCTGGTGTTTAAATAACAATTGCAGAATTTAATTAAACTTTGAAAACAGAGGCAATATCCCTCCTTAAATCTCACGAATCAGTGCCTGGCAACACTTGAGGTATCTCTTCCCGCCCCCAACACAGAGACACTTCTGGAAGTCGGGCTGACAACAGAAATTGATTGTGTGTGTGTGTGTGTGTGTGTGTGTGTGTGTGTTTAACCAGGAAAGGTCGAATTTTCACTTTTGTGTGTGTGTGATGAATCGTCAATGAGCATCTCATAGCTCTTGCTTCGGTGGTTGGGAAAAATGACAAGCTTATCCTTGCCAGCATGCTGGCCTGTGTGAATCACAGCCCAGTGAAAGCTTTCAGGCATATAATTTATCTTTTCTTTGGCCTACGTAGTAAATGCTTCATTTGTTCATGAATTCTGGCCTTGTTTTAATTATGCTATGCCCTGAATGTCGTTTTCTATGGCACAAAAATCAGACTGTCGTTCTGAAAACACAGAAGATTTGTGTGTACCCCCCTGCCCCCTCCCCACCTCCCCGCAGAATGAAACGGTGGCATCTTTTTCCCAATTCACAGCTCTGTGGGTTTGCGGTTGGAATCCCAATCTAGTAAGGGGCTCGGGGCAAGGCTTGTGTGGGTGGGCGGGCAGGGGACTGTTGACACGGCTGAGCCGGGGGCACAATTTACTCCCAGGACTCTGAATCAATACATTGATGGCCATTTAGGCGACTCCCACCAAGGAGGCCATTGATTGAGGAGTTTTATTCTTGTTTCTTTCTGAGGGCTGGATTCTCTCATTACACTTAGAGAACAATTGATTTTTTTGTTGTTATTTGCTCCAGAGACACAACTGTGCAGGCCAGAAATCAGATGAGAAAGCTTAACAGTCAGAAGGCTCGGGTTGTGTGTGTGTGTGTGTGTGAGAGAGAGAGAGAGAGAGAAAGATCTTTGCAGACATATGTATTTGCATATCCACAAGTTCACAGACTAAAGGAAAAAATGAATGGCTATTTCATAACGTGTCTATGTTTTCTATGCAGAGTGCAGAGTGGGCACTCAGTGTTTCAAATCCCAATGATACTACTAACAAAGAGTGGAAACTGGTAGTGTCACAAAGACAGATGCAAATCCTGTTAGTGACCATTAGGGAGCCAACTCTCTCACAAAGGAAGACGAGGCACCATTTCGGGGACTTCTCAGAGGTCACTGGAACTCTAAAACACCGCCCGGGGGCTTGGCTGTGTTAGATCCCGACCCTGCTCCCAGCGGGACCTCCTGTTTTCGGACTCCATTCTCATTTCAGAGCTCATTCCACTCAAACTGAGGTGCTCTCCTTCACAGTCTTTAGTGAAGAAGAGAAAGCCGAGCTGATAAAGCACAAGTCTAAAACGTCTTTGCTCTTTTCTGAAAATAGGAACGGATCGAGTGCATTGGGCTTTATGGTGAAATTACGTGCGTGCGAGGCTTGGTTATTAGCTGCTAACGTCGATTATCGAACTAAGAGGGGGATTTGAATGAGGCACTAGATGCCTATCGGAGATGGGTCTTCCCACAAGTAATGGAATCTTTCCCTAAGTCAGGCCCTGGGTTGACTCCAGACGCCCCCACAAAACGTGACAATTCACCAAGTCTCAGCCTCGGAATGGCCTCGGCAGCCCATGGCCCATCATGAGAACTCAGTCAGAGTTTCCTCACTCAGAGTAAAGTGGTCCCTAGTTTCTCAGATGTTCATGGGTATTGATAACCAGTCTATAGCCCCCAAACAAGTAACTTTCTGCCTTGGGTTTCCACCGTGATGGAATGTTCCCTGGGCCAGCGAGCCTCGTTCTCCACGGTCTGGCGGCCTCTCCAACACATGCCCTCCACCCCCTCTGCCAGGAGAGCACTTGGCACCTTGCGTAATAATTGTGGGTTTTTAAAATCCCTCTTCTCTGCTGGACTGCACACTCACTGAGGACAAGAGCACACTGTCCTGTCGCCCACTGTGGCCTGGCTTCACCTGTGCATGGCCATGTCACACAGCCAGCTGTGCCACACTTTTGGTTTTTAAATCCTCATCTGAGGACATGTTTATTGATTTTAGAGACAGAGGAAGGAAGAGAGAGAAACGCTGATTGGTTGCTTCCTATACATGTTCCCTACTGGGAATTGAACCTGCAACCTAGGTGTGTGCCCTGAGCAGGAAATCGAACCTGCAACCTCTTGGTGTACGGGAGATGATGCTCTCTCTTGGTGATGCTCCAACCTACTGAGCCACACCAGCCTGGACTCAGCAAAGATTTGATGCTTGAATGCATGGAAAAACTTATGTTGAATTATACAGAAAGCAATTCAATTGGCTCCTGAGTTGGTGCCTTTGGGGAAGTGGCCCCTTGAAGGGCAATTTCTTAAAATTTGGAAGGAAAATTTGCATACCGAATTTCTTGCAGTCAAATTTTACAAGAACAGCTTATGAGAACAGCAAGAATGCTGGTGGCAAGAACCTAAACACAGGACCCAAATGATCTTTTCTCAGTTGTAACTGTTCAGGATTTTCAGCTGGTGTCTAACATACGCCAGGAAATTCTTGACACCGCCCTAGGTGCATGAAAACCACAGAGTAACGTGACCATCATTTTCCTTAAGGAAGGAAAACATGTGTACAGTCTCTAGAACAGAGCCTGGCGTGCTGGGAGTGCTCAGTGATGGACAGCCAGTGTTTTATTGGCAGTTAGCTGTTATTAAAACAAACACATTAGTAATCAGGACACACAACCACATAATAAAAAACTCAGTCCATCTAATTTTTTCCTGGCTCTAACCTCAACTAGAGGCACTTGACTTTATCCCAGGGTTTGGAAAAAAAATAAAACTGTTATTTAAAAGTCCATTAACAGAGGAAACAAGTGCCTTAAAATAGAGCGCATTAATTTTTATTTCCTCCTTCACGCAAGGGGCTCCCGTCTCGGGCCCGAACACAAACAAGTTTTTTCATGCTTTAAAAGCAAATGCTCTTTTTTTTCAGATCAAAAGAACTTGCCTTTCTTTGTACAGGCTGAGAGGGTGTCAAGAAAAAAAACTAATTCTGGATCCCTCCCTAAACAAAAATCTAGCTTTTCAAAGGTATTACTCCAGGTTGTTGGAAAATCATTAGGACATAAAAGAGTCTGCCCAGAGTGGTAAAAACTCTTTATTTAAACCCACCCTTTACTGCAAAAGACAGTTCAAGATCAATCCGGGCTATTAAAAGTAAGAAGTGAAATGTGTTTGGAGGGAAACCTTTAAACACACTGGGTGTGAGACACGCCGCTGAGACCGGGGAGTGGGTCGGTCCCCCAGGAACCATGTTTATCCGGCTAATGCCGTTCCCCCTCCACCCCATCGATCACAGAGGCAACCTGTCTGGCTTCCCCTCTGATAAATGGAAGGACGGATTCATCTGTATGTAACTCGCTTCCTCTTGTCTTTTACCTAAAACAGATGCCACAGCTGTGGTTGCTCTGCAAACAGATGTTTCTGCCGCTCAAAACACGGGGAGGCAGATGATACGAGGTGACCGTAGAGCGACCTGCCTGCCATTGTCTTACCCCGGCCAGTCCCCTGAGCTCGCACCCAGGACGAAACAGATTGCCCCTCGCCAGCACTTACCCTCTCCGCAGGGACATCACGGGACGGCCCGGGGAATCCGGCAACGTGGTCAGCTCGGTCCTGTCGCTCCCCGCACTCGGCTTCCTGTTGGGTGTCAGCGGGTGCCTTTTCCTGTCCCCTGTCCAGTTTGAAGAATTTGTCAAAAAAGCTGGCGTCCTTAGGCTTGGCGGGGGCTGCTCCCCCAGACTCAGGTGGCAGAGGCTCTGGTCCGCGAGTGGCAGAGAAGCCTGCGCGTTGGGCGGGGGTCCGGCCGGGGGTTTTATCTGGGCCGAGGCCCTGCGCAGCTGCCCGCGGAAGGGCCACTCTGTCACTCGGTTCTTTGTTCCCCAGGGCTTCGCTGGAGCTGACATCGAGCTGCCCTGAAGCAGCGGATGAATCCGCAGCTCGGTCTTCGGTACGTCCTGGTACAGGCCGAGAGAGTGTCAAGAAAAAACGCGATTTAACAGCTGGGGCCTCGGCGTTGGCCTCCGTCCCGAGATTCTTTCCATTGGCACCCGCGACAGCGCTGCTCTCCGCTGTCTCGGGGGAAGAAGTGGCCACACTGTCTTCCTGGACACTTATCCCCAAGTCGACTGTAAACACAAACATCAACAGCGGTCATTCAGCCACGCGAGGAAACTCAAGGAGGGATAATGGACTACGAAGGTTGCCTACACAAAGGCCACCACGCACACTGGGACTCTTGTTCTCCGGTCACCCTGCGGAGCAGAAGGTGCTTCTCTAGATGTCCCCGGACCCTGCTCTTCTTGGGAGAGAGGAACAGAAGGTTAGTGAGGAGGACGGCCAGTTACTGGAGACTACACGCCAGGCACCCTGTGTGTGATGTTCATATTAATTATCTTCGCAGGAACCTCATCACAAGCAAATTGTCATGAATTCCACTTAGGAGCTGGGGGTCCTCATTGGAACAAGGTCTCTCAGCCTTGGGACTCCTGGCATTTGGGTGGGATCCCTCTCTGGCAGGGGGCCCGTCTTGTGCATTGTAAGGGTGTTCAGCAGCATCCTTGGCCTCAACCGACCAGGTGCCAGCAGCACCCCCAAATTGTGACAACCAAAAATGTCACCGGGCATTGCCAAATGTCCCCTGGGAGGCAAAAATGACTCGCATTTGAGAACTGCGGAGTTAGAACGTCTGTTTGAATCCTAGTTACTTCTTCTGTGTCTCATTGTCTGGTAAAGCGAGGCACTTCATTAGGGAGATCATGAGTGTCTGTTCTTAGAGCACACAGAATGGTGCCTGGAATATAACCAGTGTCCAGTCAGCGCCCCAAGCGCTAGCTACTGGCATTACTGATGTTTGGGGAAGTGGACGGCCGAGAGGCTGGGCCGGTCCCCCCAACGGCCCAGGAAGCTGGTACACAGCAGCGTCCGGGTACAGTTAGACATCTGTTGAGAACAGGAAAACATTTAAAAAAGACAGACTCAGAAAGTTTCTGTTGTGAAGGCCTGAAGGGCAGATGGACACAGAAGGTGGCAAATTAGACCCGGGCCCGCCTGGAATCAGAGGTGGACGGTGCGCTGGCCCAGACAGTGCCGCCTGCGAAGGGGACCCTGTTTCCAGCCCCCGCCGGTTGTATTTTGACCTCTGCATCGACCTAGTTCCACTGCCTTCCTCTCTGGGTCCCTTTTATAAAGCAGAGTGATATTCAGGGGAAAAAAGACATGCCGTTAATGTGGGAACCACAGTTAAAGATCAAGATTTTTCTGCTGAAAAATTGCATGACCTTGGCCCGGTCACTAGACATTTTTTGAATATTCTCAGAAGAAAAATGGGAACAATAGTAGCTCCCTTGCTGGGTTGTTGCGACGTTCAGAGGAGAAAGTTCTTGCCAGGGACCCAGCACACTGACTGCCCTTTCCATCGTGGGCTGTGAGAGTGGACAGAAACCGTGGTTGTTTTTAAAGTTCCTCCCACGCCTTTGCCAGTACTGCATTCTGCTTTATACCCGTGTAGACGGCTACTTCTTCATATCTGTTTGCGGAAAGACAGAGAGAAAGCGAGGGGGATGAAGGTTTCTTTGGGTCTGGCCAAATTGTTCATTAGTATGGAGTGAAAAATGCACATATACACATATCCACCCATTAGCAATTGTTTTTGCCAGACTCTAGTATCTCCAGTGTCTAGAGACAGGAATAAATAAACATGGAGAGATGGAGAGGGAGAAAGAAAGAGAGAAAAAGAAAGAAAGAGAGAGCAAGCGTGAGAGAGGGGGGTCTCTGGTGCAGAATGGCGGTCTCCCCGTTCAGCACCGAGGAGCAGAGGACAAACGGACCTAGAGGACCAGGGCTTCCTCAGAAACTCGGACCCCAAGGAAAGCACCCTGCAGGAGCTCTGACTGTGTCTTCTCGGTCTCCTTTGCCTTTATTCTGTGGTCCAGCGGATCCATAATCACGGTAAATATTATTCCCCGGGGGGGACAGGAAGGAGGGAGAGTGTGAGAGTAAGAATGTGGTAGGTGGACGTGTCCGGGTGCCCAGTCCGTGGTGAGGCACCCGAGTGAATATAAATGGACTGCGGGGATGGTCCGTGCCAGGGGATGGAAAGAGGATGGAGAGACGAAGATTCGAAACAAGGAAGGGCTTTGCCAAATGCCGAGAGCATCAGCGGATCTTTTTCCTCTTTCTTACTCTCTGGCTAGAAAGCAAAGGGACGGGGTACTTGAGAGTGTTATAATCATGGCAAACATCTCCAAAAAAAATCTTCCCACACACAGATTTGTTTTAAAAGTGCCAATATATTGCTCTGATAGAGGATACATCCCGGAATCTAGGTAAGTCTTTGACGCATTTTGAGATTATAACGGGTACAAACCATAGTTCTTGATATCAGAGAATGGGTAAGGTGTTTTTGATGACTTGTGAGACCTCGGAGTTCTTAGATGGGACATTCCAAGACGCTGAAGCTCTGCCCCACCCCCAAACTTGGGCCCTTGAAAAGTGCTCCCCTCCAGGTGGACACATGGCCTAAGCAAGACTAATAAAAAGAAATCCTGCGACTTTTGATGCATCTCTTAGAACAGAGTTTTGTTCTTTGTGCCCAGGGTGGCGAACAAGTAGAGATGGCCGCTGTGGCCATCCCTTTGGGGAACGCCTGCCTGAGCAACAACACAGATGAAAGCAGAGCCAAAAGATCTAGGAGCAGATGCTCAGTTATAGCATCTGTGCACCTGGATCCAGCTTTGCCTGAAGCTGATGGACTTTACCATTATAGGGCCAACAATCTTTTTTTTTCTCTACCACCTCACCTATGCCAGTTTAAATTATGTACACACTCAGAGACTTGGAGAGGATTTCAAAGAGTAGGTCAGTACCTACTTCACTAGTCAGTTAATAGCAGTCATTCCTCTACTGGAGAAGCTGTCGCCAGGCTTTTCAAGTCTATCTCAGAGGCATTTAGTACGAGAGGAAGAGAGGTAAAGAGGATAAAATGGGAGGAAGTGAGTTCCAAGGCTCTGGAGAGATGCACAAAACACCTGCCGACCTTTTGTCTTCTCTGTGAAAGTGAAGGAAAAATCCACTCGGGGGAAGAGAGATTTACAGTCATGTGAGACCTTAAACATTAAAAACAAATATGTTATAAAACATAAACTTACACGTACACACACACACACACACACACACACCTCCAACCCGTGTGAGTGAGCAGGCAGAAAACACATTGTAATTATAGGTTTTATACTTTTGCAAAGATGGGGAGAGTTGACACGCCTTCCTTATGTTATTCTGGAAAGAAGAAAATGTTCTTTCTAGAGGACCGGAACCAAGCTTTCAGCTCCCGTGAAAAAGCCTGAGAGAAGCCTGCCCTGAGTCTGGTTTCAATAAGAGAGTTTCTCGTAAAGCAGACAAACAGATGATGAACCGGAGAGCTTTACTTTCCATGAAAAACAGTGTGTAAGAGATAAAAGGAACCAAGTAAATGCAAAAGGCAGCTCCCGAGGGGTTAGGAGAGTTGAACCTTTTGATCTCTTTAGAGCAGGAAAGATACTTTGTATTGTGTGTGTGCTTTTCTTTGTAAAGACAGTGATTTTGTCTAGACCCGAGACTGGAAACTTACTTCTACAGGTAGCTCAGTGTAATTGTTAAAGAATGTAGATTGTGGATCGGAAGGGCCTGGATCTAACTCTTAATTCATTTATTAAATATGTGACCTCGTCCAGTGACTTCGTATCTTTGTGCCTGGTTTAATTACAAAACGAGCAAGAAAGTAACAGCGCCTTCTTCCAAGGGTGACGGGAGGGTTCAGTGACATATTTCTGGTGAGGTGCTTAACACAGCAGTGGTATATGGCCGGTATTCAGTAAACATCAGTTGTCCTGTGGTATTTATGTTGTTACTGGAATTACTAGTTTACATTCCTAAACATCACTCATAAAACAAGGAATTATTCCAAAGGTTTAACCTACAAACTCGAGTGCTCTGGAAAGACTTTTAAAAATGAAAATGACATGAGTTAACTTATCCTCAGAAGTATGAAAATCGGGGCCAGAGAAGTTTTAAGAATGCTTATGATTTTTAAGTACCACATATTCTTAGTCAAAGCAAACCGCTTCATCAGAGTTCTAGTTATTTATTTAAAAACACACACATACACAGTTTGTGTTACAATATTCAGAACTTCTGAGGCATGGTATGTTCCAAAGCTGAAATTTTCACTTAATACAGTTGTAAAAACAGTACCAAATATTCAGGGGGCCTGCCCACGTGTCAGACATCATGATAAGTGCTATGTGTGACCAGAAGCATTAGACTCAGTTGTTACGGCAAATCTGCAGGTTAGATACTGTCATTTCTCCCATTTTACAGGTGGGAAAACTAGGGCTCTGGGGAGTCAAGTCACTTTTCTAACATCGTCCAGCTCACAAGTGGTGGAGTCAGGATTTGAACCCGTGTTTGCCTGATCACAAAGCCTGAACTCCTGACATGTTACAGAAGCAGCAAGAGCAGGCGAGAGGGAGGGAGGAAAGGTGGATGATGCAGACACATTTGGTTAGTAGAACTAGAGGAAAAAGCAACTATGCGCAGAGGAAAGTCCTGTGATTTCCCACATCTGGAAAATGGAAGTGATTTTTTTTTGTTTTAAATAAAAATTCAATCATGCCCTTTCTCTGCATAAAACTAGCCAAATAGAACTTTGCTACAGTCAAATCAAGTCCAAAGTCTACCATGGACCACAGCTCACCCCAAGTTCTTCCTCTCACCTGTCGACACACCAGCCTCGTTCCCGCCTGAAGCCCTTTGCCCTAGTTTTCTTTCTACCTGGTCATGCTTCCCTGGTCTTTCCGTGATGACCTTGCCATCATTCTGGCCTCGGGCCAGGCCTCCCTGAGCCCCGTCTCTGAAGGAGCCCGCCACTCACCCCATCCACTCTTTGGGTCTGCAGAACACCCCTTAGTCTCTGATGTCCTCTCATTAATCTGTGGTTTACTCATTTCCTTCCCCCTGGAAGGGAAGCCCCACGTGGGCAGAGACTTAGTCTGTTTCCCTTTCAGCCATGCCCCCAGCAGTGACTGGCACACAGAATAGGATGAAGTCTGGGAGCTTGATGACAAGCCCTTTGAGACCATGAGTGTCC